AAACAAAACAAAGAAAATTAACATCGTAGGAAAGCGCGATGCGTCTTGCGAGCTCGTAGATTTCTGCGATGCGACGTCGCATCGCAGTTTTGTGTCTCGAGCCTAAAACGAGTATTAGTCTAAAGTTTACTGAAGGTAAGATTCCTTTTTGTATACCTATGTAGGAAACAAAATATATTTATTTTCAAAAAGTGTTTTTATAAGTTTACGCATTTGTGTTTTTATAAGTTTACGCATTTGTGTTGTTTACCAGTTATATACACAGCATAATTGATCAGCGCAAAAGTTGTATAACCCACATTTATTTTTTTTCTACAGTATTACTTTAAATGATACTAAATTACATAATTATTTATATTTGGATGCTACTTTCATGTCTAAAAAATATCAAATTGTTTTTTTTTTCATTCATCATTTATTTTTTCATTACATCTATTTGTCAAGTTTTATTGAAATCGGATATCGGAAAGTGCGCGATACCGGATTCATTCCTTAGTTTGCCACATTTAGAAGTGGCATTTTAAATCGGTACACAAATGCCGAAGTTCGATAACATACTTAAAAAAAGAAAAAACAACGTAGTACAGTCGAGTTGAGAACCTCCTCCTTTTTTTGAAAACGGCTAAAAGTATTACTTTTTATCTGACGTACTTACATTCATCTATCACCTTACAAAATCGAGCTCTTTAGAAAAGCTTAGACGATGTTATCATAGTTCAGCGAGGATATGATGTCAGCACGGCAGCGGCGTGAAAGCCCTCTTATCTAGATGAGCTATCTACTTTACAAAGAAGCCTCTTACAAAGTTCGGAAGGAAGGATTTCCGCAAAGGAGCTTGTTATTGAACTGCGCCCCGTATTGTAGAGTGTAATACTTGTTGGAAAATTGTATTAACTAGATGCGAAGAGTAAATTGGAGTTTCGAACTAGGTATTCGATCCGTTCACTATTGAATTCTAGTTGTTCCAACGGTTGTTTAGTTTCAAACTTAATCAGGAACTTGTTCGTCGTTTGCGCCCGCAGTTAGACAGTTTCATAACATTCAAACGACGAATAAATTAATACATAATCGCTTAATTTAAACCAAATATGCGTTATATAATGTTGAGTACAGTCCAATGTTCCTATTGAAAACAAACATTTGGAAGTATTATTTCGTTATGATTTATTATAGATAATTATATTGGTTTTAAATGAAATCACAGAAATTTAAAGAATTTTTAAATAAACTGAGTTATAGAAATAAAATAAAAATATTAAATAAAATATAACTGATTTCTAGGAATATTTATAGAAACTTTCTTTAAGTTCAAATATCTCAAAACTTTTGACTTTGAACCTTTGAACACTGCTCTACCGCGCCGCCACGCCGTTAGTTGAAAGCTTAGACGATGGAAAAAAAGGTTGAAAGTGTAGAGGACGGTTGAAAGCTTGTGACATATTTTGAAATTGGTATAAACATAGTGCTTAGACTATGGAAACTTTTTCCATCCTCTAAGGTTTAGTGCCGTATTAAAGGCCGATCTGTCACTATTTTTATTTTTTTCCAGGTGGGTAAGGTATGAAGTTACCGCAAGAGAAAAGAAGATATTTTTTTAATTTAATTTCTTTAAACATCATTTTGTCGGTTTTGAGTTTTTGTCACAAGGGCCCTTTTCAATTTTCAATTTTCGCGCGGCTGCCAGAACACTACGCCAATCATACATTGGATTTTGTGAATAGTACCTGTGTCGCCCTCTGTCAATAAGTTTGGAACGAATGAAAAATATTTTAATTTAATAAACTGACATCTATCCTCAAATTACAATAATAGTAAATTCGTTGCTAAAGTAGCTATGTAAGTTTACTTAGCGTTGCTCTTAAAAACTGAGAGATGGCGCTTTTACTTTGTTTTGCTTTACGTAGTTACATGTTATGCCGGCAGAGGGCGGGTATTGTGATTCTATGCGCGTGGCGCGTTTCGAGGGAACTCTACAAACTAGATTTACGAAGTCCTAATAATTATTACAGTATGATATTTTTACATGTAATACATATTTTTGTGTTGAACAAAACCCCCAGTAGCAGTACTTTAAGATAATTAAAAAATAATATAATGATGATTGTATTGTAAAACATTTCAAATCTTCGTGTCCCTTTATTTAATTTATTTCCCTCTTCAAATTATATTACTGTAAACTGTAATATTGAAAGAAACATACTTTTGTTGGCAATTTGATTTAAGAGAAGAGACATCATGGAGAAAAACAAAAACTACAACATAGTTGTTGGAGGGAGGTAGCGACGTTCTTGCCTCAATTTTCTAGCCATAAAATTGCACTGAAAGAGATTTTCGACAACGCGGAGGGGTGGCAATGTGGTATTGCAACATAAATTGTGCGCACACGTTGTACAGCGGACATTAATATCATCTGTCCTATCAATTATGTTGGTTCGTGGTCACCGCTGCGTCGACAACCTATCGAAGGAAAAAATACACGAAAAATTTGACATACGACCCCCAATTTATTCTGAAGCTTGAGTTTCAGGGTTGGGAATTTTAAGATGATTATTATTGGGACTTTTCTGTTATGTCTGTGAATTGTTTCAATCTCAACCCTACTTGACCAAGTTTGTGGACTCTTTCTCGAAGAGATTGCGGTTTATGTGGTTGATACCGCTTTCTTCTAGCAAAAACTAGATTAGAATCTTTATCAAAAAGTATTATTATTTTTACTTTAAAGATAATTATATATTTTTTGAAGCAAAGAATCAGAGTCAAGCGTAGGTCCTTCCTCGGAGTCATCCTTACGTTTGTTGTTTCCCATTTCGGTAAAGCTAGAAATCTTCATTTCCTATGTTTTTTACATACTTCTTTCATTTTTTTTACTCCCACCAATCCGTTTATAGTCATAGCTGAGTTATAATTTTGTTTGGCCCTGGGTCTTCATAGTCTTAAAGACTGCCAGCCCTAGATGCCAATATAAATCACGTTATCCCGCTTGTGATCGCGATTGCCTCATCAACATACTAATGCGCTGCACC